CACAGCGCACAAAAACATATTCCCTCCAACTTCTATCCATCTTCTGGAGGACATAATGCAGTTACTGTTCGCCTTCTTTCATGGTCATATTGTTCATACCAGTGGGAGGATGCTCCCTCATGACATATGACTGGTGAAACATCAGTGTGCATTGAAATCATGCTCTCCAACCGTCTTCAGACATTCTGCATCTAAGCAGAGATGAATGCAATTAAAATATTCTCAGGCTAAGATAGGAAAGGGGGGAGATGGTTCATAGGCTTCAGCACTTCCTTGAAGGCCTTTACAACATAAATAGTAAATTATGTACCTGATACGCTTGAACTCATTGACAAAACAAGGAACCAAGTCCTCAGCACTCGTTTTGAGTGATCGTTTAACAAAACACTATTTCTGTGCTAATTTTGTTTTTCAACAATATTTGTAAATTCACAAGGGAAGGAGAGAGCTTATGCACAGAAGACAGTACTGTGCTCTCTGTTTATTCTGGACACAAAATAATACCCAGAGCTTCCTCTAAAAGCCTGCTGAGAACACAGACGAAAAGAAAGCCTCCAAGAGGAAGTACTGAAAAGTAAATAGGCAGTGCGGGCAACGCTGCTGAGCCTCACTACAGAAAGTCAGTCAGTGTGTCAGAGTTTTGGTTAGTACCCTGAAAGGAAACTTGGGAGACAGAAATTGCCATATAATTCTTTCTGCAATGCATAATTATATTCTTAACCTCTTTGTCTTTTTTTCCTTTTAGATAAAGAGAAAATAATTCATTTCCAGGAATATAAGTGGCTTTAATTCACTTGGATGAAGCCTCTTATTTCTCCCCCCCCCCCCCCTTTTTTTTTCTGATTCAGTGCCTGACTCAGAACCATCATTCTTATTGCTTCTGTCAGACTATTCCACATTTCCCAGTGGTTTTCACTACTGCAGTTTGGAAGCACTCTTTGTTCTTATAGTCCCAGTGCCTACTAAGGCTTTTCTTTTCATGTTCTTTGACGTTTATTCCCTAGGAGCCGGATCCTTGTGTCCTTACATGTGAGCCAAATCTCCCAATGAATTTGCAAACGTGCAGGATCAGCAACTTAAACAGTTTATTTGTTCTTCAGGCTTCTCTATGTTCACAGGAAAAAGGACGCCTATAGGCAAACACTGCATCACTAGGTTTCATCTTCACAAAAAGGAAGCTTAGAGAGGAAGGAAGGCACAAGACTGCGAAGTTAACAATTAAAAAACAAAACCCAGCCTTCTCACGTTTTTTCCTGAGAGGCTGGTGGTTACGGATGCAGTTGCAGGACACTGAACTTACATGTTTCTTGAAATACATCAAAAGACAGCTTCACTGAGTTGGCACAGTGTCAGCAGTAGTAGCTGATTCCAGTATGTTATCAGAAATAATATATATCTTTGGATATATTTTTGAAAAATCTTTCAACTCGGATATCTATACTACATTTACATTTAGGAACCTGAGATTTCTAATGGCCTGACACCTCCGGCTGGAAAACACTGCCTGCTTCCATTTACTTCAGCTTTGGTATCTGCGTCAGAGAATGCTGGCCTGGCGTGTTAGAAAATGTAATGTATTCAATTTATGTCCTACATAAAAGTTGAGATCAGCATCAACGACTAGATCCAATCTGCAGCTTTAATTCAAACAAACAGCGCTGCTGACAACACTATTTCTGTGGATAAGGACTCCGTCTCACAAACTTACATATTAGACAATCTTCAAACTTCACTTTAATGCAGATGTCCCTCTCCGATGTCAGAAATTTTATGGCAAGTAGTCTTGGTGATGAGCCAAGATTTGACACGATCTAACTATTTAATCATGTGAAAATCTGTGATGAGACAGTGCTGTTAATACCTTCTTATGCAGTGGAATGAAAACCTTTCCTTGTGCTCCGTCTGCTGTGCACATATAGGACAGAATTATTGCTATAGACTCATGTATTTTCCAGCCAGAGAGATTATACTAATCTTTTAGTCTGGCATTTTATAGCAACAGTCAACTGTATTACCTAAGTAGTTCCTCTATCAGATCCTTTAACTTGTCAATGTTAATTTGGATTACATGTGTGTAGTTTTACACAAACCCTCAAGTTCCTGTACATGTGAAACAGCTAGATATGCTGATGTCTAATGACCCACACTAATAGACACATATGCCTCATTTCTAGTCTGAATCTATCTGGACTCAGCTTCCTGCTATTGGATCTAAATACATTCCAGGCATATATTTCATTGAATTGTCCATCATTTCAGTGTGATTGAGCTTGGGATATGTAAAACTGATAAATATGTACTTCCACAGGTGTTTTACAAAGACTTTTACAGTAATTTTATTGATTATTTAAGCCCACCATCCTTAGATTTTCTACAAAAATTGGGTAGATCCATTCACAGTCATTTACACAGTTCAGTTTTCTGCATTGCTTCTATTTAAACTGAGACAATTTCCATATACAGCAGGTCCATTTGCACACAAAAGTCATACCACAAGGGTTTGAATGCTCAGCTAAAGCCTGACCTAAGGCTCAGGGTAGTTCCACCTCTTGCCGAGAATATTTTGTACACTTCTTTGTGTAACCTTGAAAACAGAACATGCAAGACAGTGCCATCACCTACAGATGATGCCACATCATCACTACTTTGCCACCATTCCAGCAGAAAATTATATTTTGTAGAGGGTATTTTACTCCATTGGCATTATAATCAGCGTCAAGGCCATCAGTGAAAGCATTAAGCAGACAAAAAGTCTGCCAGATCTCAGTTGTTTGTGTTACTGCATGTGCCTTTATCCCTGATGGTATCCCCTAAACCAAAAGGAGAATATTCTTTTTATGAATAAATTACTTTAAATTCAGATAAATGCATGCTAGAGCAGTGAGATGCTCTGGAATACTGAAACATCTTGTGAATGGAAAAATCATTTGCTAGTACAAAATAAGGGCGTTGCTGCATTGTCTGCAGGAGATAGCAATGTTCAGCCTTCTGGGGGATACAGCAAGGAAAATTTAATGCAGCAGGAAATCTTTCTAAACAAGAAGTTGGCCATCTGCTAAAAACTGTATATATTTTATGTTGTAAAAACTTCTCTGTATTTCTATTCTCTTTCCGATGCTACTCCTTCAGGTAGTTTTAAGGAGCCACTTAAAAATAGTCCTCTTCCTAAAAAAAAAAAATCTCACAAACACATGCAAAGAGGAAAAATTCTTCATTAAGGTTTTTTTTTATTGTATTATATTTCACCCTCTTGGCCACCAGCACTGAATATAGCATTTCTTCCATATTTTTTTTCTTCTTAATGCCTGTTTGGCAGACTGAAGAAAATTACTGTAAATCAGTTTTCATTCAAAACACCACACTTGCAACTAAAAGGACAGGTTATTATACCATTAAGATTCAATATAATGAGTAAAAATTTTGTGACAGAAGAGCAACTTTTGAATCATAAATTCTCATTTTTAAAGGACAAAAGGGACTACCACAATCAGTGCCTGAATTCCTACTTAAAAAGAGACAATATAATTTCACACAATAATTCCTGCGTCAGTCCCCAGCCTTCTGATCTGCAAGAAAAACTTCTACTTTCCATGTTACACCTTGCAAGCAAAAGACCCAGGGCTTCTTCAGCTTTATCCATGACAATTATCAAACAGATTTACAAAAAACATTATCAGCAACAAGGCAGAATCAAATTCTGGCTCTGAAGAATCTTGAACATAGATGAATCAGCACAAGGAAATAATGATAAGATGGGAATATCTTTTGGAGACATCATTTTTTACAGGACAAACACAGAGTAAAATCAATGTATTTTATACTTCACAAAGTTCCTGTAATCAGTTCTTGCAAATTGGATAAATACTGTAATGGATCTGTTGCTTCATTAGCACTCACTCTGATAAACAGCACTACAACATCCATCAAGCTCTTCATTGCCTCTGGGGAAGGCTGCTGCAAGTGGTTGAGAGCAGTGAGTCAGGCTCGCTAGGATCAGCAGACTTGGGGTTTTAGCTTGTGTACTGGCTGCAAACAGAAGAGCAGGCAGTTTGGGTCCAGGGTGCAAAAGGTGGAGGGAGATCAGGCTGTTCTCCCCAATAAGGGGACCAGTGCTAATTACAAGTGATTTCTGATGTTTTTGAATCACCATGAAGCTGTTGTAGGTGACTCCGAATGTATGAGAAAAAAATTATACTCTGACCAAGGGAGTTTCAAGCCCGTGGGTTTGCATTTGTAACTTGGAATGAAAATCTCTGGTGTTTGTCTGGAAGAGTCACAGCTTTGTATTTCTACCCCTGCTTGCCCTTAGACAGTAAATGAAGAAGTGTAGAACAGACTGTTATGACTAGCTCAGGTTAGAAAATCTTCTACCACCACTGATAATCCTAGTTGAACATTTTTGTCCATGGCCTAATTCGTACAAAAACTACAGGATGAGATTTTCAAAGGTTGTGGGACATCCAGTCCTATGTTAACTTTAATGTTATATTGATTCTGAATTTATATATGTGTTTTCTTTATAAGATCAGCTTTAATTCGGAGCAGCTTAATATCCGAAACACCTTGCTAGTACCACAGAAATATTAAACAGAATTCTGGATTACAAAACTAGACTTAAGTTAAAGTGTGAAAATGTGACCTCTGTCTTAGCTCAGTTCTGTAATCAAGGCCTAAAGGTCATAAGTGGTCTCAAAACTTGCACTGAATAGCCCCAAAACACATGCTGAGCAGGATTCTTTCCTGAACTTGGAGACTGGAGGCACCATTTATGCCTGCAGGTAGTTTTTACTGTACATTATTTCTTAACCTTTGAACAGTTCATTTTACAATATGAATATTGCTTTGTGTTTTATTTTTAATAGAACCGTGATTATACTGGCAGTAACACTGACATCATTCTCGTGCTGTGAATTCCACAGTTACATTAAGAACTGCAAAACACAGATTACTCAGATCAGACAACCTAACCAGTGGGAAATAAACACAAAAAGCTTACTTACCATGACAGTTTTGGAATTGCACCAGGGATGAACTTGCCTCTGTGGGTTCTCCCAGCTCACGAGTCCTAAAGGATCATCTGCAACATTTGCCGGGATTGCAGCCCGATGTTGTTGCCCTTGCATTTAAACAATAAAGCCCCTCAGCTCAGCTCAGCTCGATCTCTTTACCTTCCCATTCACTAGTGGTTTAAACAGACATTTGATTTTTCTAGTCTGTGTTTGCCTGTAACTATTTTTAGCAGCTAATAACTGACACCCTGGGGAGCATGATGTCATCACACTTCGCAGTTATGGAGCTCTCGAAAGTCAAAACCAGACAGCAGCAGCTGTCATCATGGTGAGCTGGCTCATTAGGCAAGGGTAAGGGAGTGACACCACCAGAGCCCAGGTCCAGAGACCAAACAGGAGGAAGTTCAGTAAGATCTCAAATAAAGAAATTCTTTCTTTTGTAAGTAATCTGGAGCCAAGGTTTGAAAAATGGTATGCATTTTTTAAGGCTGCTGAATACTTTTTACAGTACTAATAAAAATATAGTCTTACTGGCAATCCTCTTGTCTGTGTCCCATGCAAAAGTTGTGGGGACTTTTGGAAATAACACCGGTCACCTATCCACATCACGAGAGAAAACTACTGAACAGGCAGCAATAGGCAGCTTTGCTAGTGATTTCAGCAGAGGCTAAGGACAAAGTGATCATGGACACTGAACCTATCCATTTATCAATATTTGCTCCCAGTATATTTAACAATTCTTCACCCCAGAAACCTCCGTTTGGTTGGGCATATGAGACATTTCTAATTTCTCTTCGAAAGATGGAGTTTCATTCCCTTGCTCATCCTGTAGCTCTTCTTTGTCCCTCTCACAGTTAATTTGTCTGAAAATAAATGTCTAAAAACAGCTGTAGAAATACTCAAAAGGAGTTAACACTCCTTGTAAGATGGTACCAGTATATCTTTTTCTCTGTTAAAAAACTCTCACCTTCCAGGAGTGCATTATCTTTTCTAGGATAATTATATTTCACTGTCTAATCATATTCATCCTTTCACTGTCAAGTATACTCAGATTTGTTTCTACCACTGTTACTTCCAGTTCATAAACCCTCAGGTTATAGACAAAGTTATTCTCGAAACTGAAGTGTATGGCTTTGTAGAGTACGCTACTTACTTATATGACATTACCAGCAAGCTACTGAAAAAGTTAGTCTAATTCTTTTTGAACAACCACCCAGTTTTCCTCAGCATTGGCAGTACCTCCCAACTTTGTCTTAGCTAGGAATTTCACCTCAACACACTGATAAATATATTAAATACAACAGGTCCCAAGACTAACCCCAGAGAAACACCACTAGGACCATTTCTCCAGCCTTGTCACTTTACTTTGAATATTCCTTTTAGTCAGCACTTTAGTCAGCTCACAATTCTTGTGTTCAACACCATCATTTCCAAATTCAAGAACAATTTCCTGTGGAATATCAGTTACTGGAATCTAAGTAGATGAAGCTCACTTTTATAACTCCTAAAAAAATCAATCATCATATTGAAACATATTGAGCATTATGATCAACCTTTGCTAAAACAATGTTGTAATTTATTCAAAACAGGTCCACACTTGCTATTTTCCAGTAAGGGATAAAAATCCCCAACAAACAAACAAAACAGCCCAACAAAACAAACAAAAGACCAAATTCACTACAAACCTCACACTACTGCAATTTCTTCAGCAATCTGGAAATTATCTGTATCACCTAAATTTGTCTTACCAGTAAGCATGGCTTCTATGCCAGCAGCTGTAATTTCTAGTGCATCATCATAATTTGCATGATAGAATTATCACTGCTCTCATAAACTATACTGATAACCAAAGCTAAACATTCATTTGATATGTGGGTCACAGATACCAAACTGCTAACCCGTATCCTAGCCTTTGTACGAGGCCTCCCACTTCCTTCTTATTTGACACTGAATACAAATTTTATACACAGTGCAATACACCTTGTTTTGTATGTGCACAGACGTTGCAACAGCTGCTTATGCAAATGACAAGTATCAATACCTAACCGGGAATACCAATTACTGAAGAAACTGTGTGATATTTTCATTCAGGAATACGCCTTTATTAACAGTTTTCCTTCTTCTCCCTAAATGGACTTGACATCTTGAGCACCTGGAATCTCATGCACACGGCTGAAATTCATGTGAAACATTTTTTTCTCCCTTTAAGCACTTGGAATTTACCTTGGATTTTGTTAATTCCTAACTATCAGACAGTAATCTCCTGATGCAAAAATCTAAACAAGGATGTTCTAAATCTCCTTAGCACATTGGGTGCACAGTCTCTCAAAGCCCAATATTAAAAGGTTCCTTTCAAGTATCAAAGATGATGTCCCCTAGAGAATCATGCTGTGCTTCTTTTGCCCATTCCTTTGAAAGGCTGTATCAGGAAACCTCCTGTTATCAGTCACATGAAAAATACCATCTAGTCCCCAAAGCTGAGCTGACGTCAAAGAGGGACACTTAAAGGGTCTGTCTAAACGCAGCTGAAAGGCTTGTTGTAAGCCACAGTGTAGGAGCACCCACATCAGACAAGTACAGAGGAATTGCTGGCACCAGAAATAACAGGATGACACAGTAGCAGGCCTAAGGATGTGGAAGCACGCTGCCCACCAAGAGTTCTGCCTAGAGAAGGACACGTTTGTAGCTATGATTGCTTATTCTCTCCTCAGTCAAAAAGTACATAAACAAAAAAAACACTGAAAAGAATAGTAAAGTTTAACAGTGGTGCAATAAGTAGATTTGTATGTGTGTGTATTTTCTTTGTCATTAGAAGAGTTTAGCTAACACAGCTATAGGTTGTTTGCATTTTAAGGGCTTGGATTAATTCATTGTTTATGAATACATATCAGGGAACCAGAAATTTTCTCTCCACAAAACGTGCATCTATGAACAGTGTTAGTGTATTTTTCCATTGAATTAATGACATTTCTCAACCACAGGGTTGAGGATATTTTGTGTCTCTATGTATAACTTTCCAAAGTAATTTATTACAGTAGTTATATTTAGAAGTTAAAGTCTACTTGATAGAATTTTAAAATGCATTTCCCTTCAGCTGTCTTTGCTACCTCTTTGCTCATTTTTTACAGATGTTTGAGTGATTCACTGAACGAGTCTTGCTTTATACATTTAAGCCATTTATTTGTTTGTCCTTGTGCTCTTCCCTTGAGATAATCTTTTAGTCCAATTTTTCTTACAAATATTTACCTTTATTTACATATGCAAGAAAACAATACTCACATTCCTAGATAAAAAACAGGCTTCATTCCTTTGTCATCAACAAGACTGAATTACCATACTGCATAAACACTAATCAATTCCTAATTTTTCAGTTTTTGGGGAATATACCCACTATGACTTTGCTATTCCATGCTAAGTATGAGGGATTTAATTTCCTAATTTTTTGGCTGAGGACATCTCTACTCAGTGTTTCTAATATTTATTTTAACTGAAATTATTTCTCTCTCTTCTGTATTATGGAGTACTGTAGGACCACAGATGGTCTGGTTAATCAACTGACCTTACAGCTAAAACTGACAATGAAAAAGGACCTGTTCACACAAGAACTAAACATCAAATCAAACAAATCAAAATTACAGAAAAGAATTAACATATTCCTATTTCATCCATCAGCAAGTGTGAAATTGTTCTTTAACATATATTACATAATATATTATGTCCAGTAACTGGCCTTACACTAGGCCATTTTAGAAAATCAGTCTAGCAACAGGAATTCAGAATGGCTTTGTGGCATGCAGCACACAAAATTCCTTTCCAGATTCCATCTTATAACTCCTAAATCTAACACTGATCACATACTGGTAAAAACTCTAACCGACAAGTCTGTCCTTAATTCTGTCGTAGGACCAACCTGAAATTTATAACATAATTTTTGAGGCAAACTGCCATTTTCTTCTTCTGCAGCAGTATCACAGAATCATGGAATACCAGGTTGGAAGTGACCTCAAGCATCATCTGGTCCAACTGTTCTTGGCAAAAGCCTGGTCTAGACAAGATGGCCCAGCACCCTGTCCAGCTGAATCTTAAGTGTCCAATGTTGGGGAATCCACCACTCCCCTGGGGAGATTATTACAGTGGCTGATCGTTCTCATGGTGAAAAATTTTCCTCATTTGTCCAGTTGGATTCTCCCCAGCAGTAACTGGTACCCATTACCCCTCGTCTTTTACATGTGACTTCTTGTAAAAGGGGAGTCTCCATCTTCTCTGCAGCCACCCTTTAAACACTGGAACACGGTGACAAGGTTTCCCCTAAGCCTTTTCTCAAGGCTGAACAAATGCAATTCTCTCAGCCTTCTGGGACATCCCCCAAACTCCACAGCTTCTCAAAGATTAGGTAGAGCAGCTTTGCAATGATGTCTGCCAGCTCTCTTAATGCCCTTGGGTGGTTAATGTCAGGGCCCACCTGTTTGTAGGGGTCAAGCTCCTGTAATAGTTCACATACCAACACTTCCTTCACTGACAGCGAGTCTGTGTTTGCATCAACCTGGATTTTTGTTCCCAAGGTCTGAGGCCCAACAGTGCTGGTAAAGACAGAGGTGAAGAAAGTGTGGAGAGCCTCTGCTTTTTCAGTGTCATTGGTGACTAGTTCACCTTTCCTGTTAAACAGTGGGCCAGTATTTTCCTTTTTCTGCTTGTTGTTTATGTACGTGAAGAACCCTTGTAGTTTTTGACATCTCTAGCCAATTTAAATTCGAGTGGAGCTTTTGTTTTTCTGTCTGCATCTCTGCACACTCTGGAAATGCTCTTGTATTTCTCAATGGGTATTTATCCACTTTTCCATCTCTGGTGCACCCCTCTTCTGGTCTTAAGCAGACTCAGAAGCTTGCAGTTAAGCCAAGGGGGTCTCTTGGTCCACCTACTTCCCTTACCTTTAAAGGGGGAGAACTGGTTTTGTGCTTCCAGGAGAGTGTTCCTGAAAAGCTCCCACCACTCACTAGCTCCTTTATCCTCCATGGAAGCTTCCCACAGAATTCCTCCCAGCTCAAGTTTGCTCTTCTAAAATCTAAATCTCTGTCTTAGTACTAACCTTCAGTGCGCTCAGCAGGATCTCAAACTCCACAATATAGCGATCACTGCAGCCAAGGCTATCACTAACCAAGATATTACAAAGCAGGTTTGCGAGTAACAAG